AGGAACGCCTGTAGATCGCACGTGGAAGAATATTGGTTATATCGAGTACAGTTCTCTTACTCGTGTCAAGCCATGTACTATTGTTTCTCACCATCAACAATTGGTAACAGTGACACGGCAGCTGCAGCATCGTCCCGGGTTTGCCTGGTTCAGACACGACTACCTTGAATACAGGCCGCCGCCAGAATATGTCTGACAACAACAAAATACAACATTTATTTGCTTAACTAAAACAGTTGTGCTATAGCTGTTTCCGATTGCAAATCATTTATTGACGAGGATTGTTCTTCAGCAATTAATTAGGGGCGGTGGGGTAGTCTAGTGGTAAAAGCGTTCGCTCGTCACGCTGAAGACCCGGGCTCGATTTCTCACATGGGTACAATGTGTGAAGCCCATATCTGGTGTCCCCCGCCGTGATATTGCTGGAATGCTGCTAAAACCGGCGTAAAAACCATACTCACTCCCCCAGCAATTCATTTGACCATTGTCCAATGCAGTAATGGTTAGTCCTCGTTGTATACATATTACACCGTATTGGTAGTGTTTCTGCTGCCTGCACAGTTTCTAGTGACGGGGAATAACAGATATAGGCTGAATACCATATTTCCTCTACAAGACACTGCACCTCAAATTAACACACGACGACCCCTCCTCTTTGACGCCGGATCCTACGTTTTGTCAATAATGGCATCGTGTATTCATATTAATAAGACAGAAGCTATAGTCCTATTATATACTGAATATGTCTATGAATAATAATTATCTTTTCCTCACAAATAACCATTATTTTCGCAGGTCGTTGACCCGGCGTCTGATTCACAGTAGAAACTCGGCGTCTAATGGATCAAATACGGTACAACCATTTTCAGAACTGTAGAATTGGGGATCCACAGTACCAACATTAAGCAGAATACAAGACAGTTGACTTAAATATACGTCCCCAACTCTAATAGAGGAGTGAGAGAGTGAGCTTAGTTTTAAGCCGCACTCAGCAATATTACAGCTATATGGCGGCGGTCTATAAATTATGGAGTATTGACCAGACAATCCAGTGATCAACAGCATGTGCATCGGTCTACACAATTGGGAAACGATGACATATGTCAACCAAATCAGCGAGCCTCCGATCCCGTTAGTCGCCTCTTACGACAAGCATGGGTTACTGAAGATTAATTCTAACCCGGATCTTCACGGGTCTCGTTTGTGAGTGAATATGTTTCCTTGAGTGAGTGATGGCTGGCTGGAGGGGATTAGGGTAGGTGACTGAGATTTGGTCACTGAAAGATGGAGTGAACGACATCTTGGCCAGGGAATTGTTATGAGAGTTGGAAGGATCAATTGTTGGGCGAGTGAAAGGGATTGCGGCGGGTGGATGAATTTTAATGAAAGAAACAAACAGAATATCGGAAGAACAAACAAACATTTTTGGGGGAGTTAAAGATGTGTGGACGGACAAGTGAAAGGGGACCTACTTGATAGTGAGTTGGGTCTTTCTCGGTAGAATTCTCAACCACATCGATACCTACACCAAGTAGAAACCAGTAGTCATTTCCACAGGTGCAGAAAACAATTATCGATAATAAATGCAAGGAGATTATTTTCCCTCATGCCAGTACATACAGTTTGTCTCCATTCTTGGAGAAGGATAATGTTGATATTCTCCCTTACAACACCTAAGCCTGCGTCAGACAGCCCTGCAAACATCCGGCGCGTATGTTACAATGTAGTTTCCATAGCAACCGAAAGTACAAAAACGATATAAATACTGCTTGGATCAGAGGAGGATGTATTTAATGAACCAGGGTAAACCTTTTTCGTTTGGAACCGGGTTTTTTTTTGTCTCTTGGACATATATATTCATACCTAATACAATAATGCGCCTAGAAAGTTTGATCTTTTCAATTGAAACATTTGCGTCGCCACTAACGATAAGGAGATATGACTTTTTACGATCTAAATGCAGTTTTTGGGATAGGTTGGTTGATTGGTTGTTTAACGCCGCACTCAGCAATATTCCAGCTATATGGCGGCGGTCTGTAAATAATCGAGTCTGGACCAGACAATCCAGTGATCAACATCAAGAGCATCGTTCTACGCAGTTGGGAAACGATGACATTTGTCAACCAAATCAGCGAGCCTGACCACCCGAGCCCGTTAGTCGCACGACAAGCATGGGTTACTGAAGAACAATTCTAACCCGATCTTCACGGGTCTGGACAGAGATGGGAACTAAGAGTGTCTTCATACATGAATCTCTGTATGGTGCAGCTCCCTAGAACATGAATGCACCATTCAGTCAGTACTATATATATGTCAACGGTGGTTGTTGTCCAATACCGGATTCACAGACCTTTACAGATATACAAATGTCCTACACACTGAACGACTATGTAACTGTTGTATAGAAAGTGGACGATTTCTTATAGAAGATGAATGCCGTGTATTGCTTGTATGTGAGCGTTACTCAGCTCTAAGACTTGTACATGGATCTCAAACAGTAAATCAAGTCTTAACTGTCACACCTGTGACCGTAATACATGTCTTAATCTATTTAAAATCCAATAACAAGAGAAACTTAATCGATTACTTCACTGTATGACATTTGTAATTCATGTAACCAAATATTGCCTGTATTATGGGCCCCATAGTCTTTTTACTGAATAAACTGTCTGTCTGTACCTTTACTGAACCAATCCCGTACCTGGGTTGTGAAACTCTGCTAGGTTTTTGGAATGGGTCTTATGAACTCTCTGACCTGATTGACAGTGTAATACCGTGTGCTGTTTGTGCTATTGTAGGGGTATATATGCGACAAATAGATAGCTTGAGACCCCGAATCAACAGTAGCACTACTGGTCTGTCTGCACCATGCCTCCTGCCATGCGTTGGGAGTGTCCCTGTCATACCTAACGACCTTAGGGACCGTTCACAATTTATGGCTGTGTGTGTGTGATGATGATGATGATTTTCATGGAGAAGCATGTACAATGTGAATGACACCCCCCTAAAATCTATGTACAAAATAAGTGACTCCCCCCCCTCATGTCATGTACAAAATCCCCTTCCCGTAATTTCTAGCATAATTTTAAACATATTATTATGAACAAAATTGCTGACCCCCTAGTACATGTCTACATAATTGCTGACCCCCTTGCTCCAAGAACCCCCATCACCTCTTCCCCACCCCATTCCCTCTCTAAATTATGAACGGTCCCATAGTATATGTACTTGGTGTTGTGTCTGGCGCTCAGCGTTAAGAGGTTGAAGGAGAGTTTAGCCAGAAATACTACGGCGTGGGACACCAGAAATGGACATGTGCCCGTGGCATTCACCGCTTATAGCAAGTTGTCACGTTAGTTTTCTCCCCCGCACATGAAATTCTGTATATTTTTTTGTCAACCAAACTGACTCGTCCAACGTCACCCTAAACTCGTTCTATGAAAGTGCCGATACGATATATTTTATGTTCGTTTCATTCAATTATTGAACCACTGGATCAAAGACGTGGATGTTACTTAAAGTAAAAAATGAGTGAGTGAGTTAAAAAACGCTTTTAACAGTATTCAAGTTATATCACATTGTGTCAGCTTTCCACTTTGGTGAACCCCATAACCAGCGAACCCGCAGGGAGACCACAACATATATTGCTTTCTGGTACGCCCTATAATTGCAGCGCCTCAGGAACCTCAGGCCGATAAACCGGAGGAGTGACTGAGTCGGGTTTTATCTGGTGTCCAGCAATATCATGCAGGGGACACCAGATAAGGCCGTAACACATTTCATTCATGTGAGGTATCAAACCCAGGTCTTCTGGATAAAGATCATAGCTTCATTGTGAAAGGGTTTGTTCCAAAAGTCAGATATATTTGTTTGCATATAAGGGGTGCTGCAGTAGCAATCATAAGTTGTCACTATAGAGGCTGTCACACAGAGACTACTGCACCGACCGCCTCATATAGCTGGAATATTGATGTGTACAGCAACAAACAAACAAACAAACCCATCTGATTAAATTAACCTGTGGACATTTTGGGTGGAGAGAAGATAACCTGCTACCTGGTAGACCGGAAAAGGGGAATTAAATGGCATTTAAATTCAGAATCCCTTCAGTATTCTATGCACATAAATATGCACAGGCAAGTTAATTTCTTATCAACACATCAGAAGTCATCTATTGTATCATGAGCCATCATGAGCCTTGTGGGATGCCATATCTGTTGTCTTACAACATGGAGAGTTCAGTAGACAGAGTACTTCAGAAAATGACCTATTCCTTTTGTATTTTACAATGCTGTTAGATTAGTGTGTTTTCACCTTTGTGACTGTTATTGTGTATACAATGTCTGGACATCTTCATCTGGAATTGACAGCATTAGTGGGATAAACAAATGTTAACACACATAATTTGTATTTTATTAAGGAGATCCCATTAAAATTTGATTAAAATTTGAATCAGATATAACAGAGACTGTGAATTAGGTAGAAACTAGTACCTCTTTAACAGAACAATACCATCACAATAGTTGATAACAACTCACTTCATTCTCTTTACTTCAGATCGCCTCCGTGGTGTAGTGGTTAGAGCGTCCGCCGGAGAGCGGAAGGTCGCGGGTTCGATACTCGACCGCGTCATACCAAAAAGACGTTAAAATATGGTACTTGTTGGTCCCTGCCTGGAGCTCGGCATTAATAGGTACAACAAGGACTGGTCGACTCGGAGTCAGTATAATGTGTCTGAGTGGGGTATTCATGCTTCACTGTGGCATGGTATCTCAGTGGGCTAGCACTATAAAACCAGCTTCAGTCTGGGCTAGTACAAGCAGCCGCACATACACATACACATGCATGCATGTCGTCATATGAGCGAAATATTCTCAAGCACGACGTAAAACCCAATTTCACCTCACCTCACCTCTTTGCCTCAGGATTGTCAACAATGATGGCTCTCCTTCATCTGCACAGCCACACTTGACTGTACAAAAACATCCCAATATAAAATACAAACTTTTTAAATTTTATTCTTTATTGCAAAACATTTCAAATACTCATAATTATATTATGAATATAACTGTTCAGAGTGAAACTATGTTCAATCAATCCACTGAGTTCCATCCTTCCATATTCACTCTATCACATGGGAAGGAAAATGATAACATGATTATTCCCCTCAATGAATACAACTGTTCACACTGGAACTAAGTTCCATCTTTTCAATGAGTTCCATCCTTCCATTTTCACTCAACCCCCAAGGGAAGTAACACAGAGAATGACCTTGATGAGGACACATGGCACATGAACCTGAGAGGCCACTGTTCCTATCACAGCTGTGGCAAGAGGCTGAGTCACCACCATTACGTGTCAGTGTTGAGTTTTCAGTGTTGAAACATTCTGTCATGGAGCAGCTGCTATAACAATGGCTGAACCGGCATAGTGATTGTCAAAATCTGAAACACAAAGTTGATGTACTTGACATGTGTATCCTTCGTTAATTTGTGTTGGTTTTGAAGAAAATGCAGATCAACCACTTAAAGGGACAGTTATTATTTCCTGAATTGGCCAACTATTCCCAGAAAATATTTTTTCAGTACTTCAGCTGCTCTTATGGAGGCGATGGGGTAGGCTAGCAGTTAAAGCGTTCTCGACAGGCTGAAGACTGGGTTCGATTGCTCACATGGCTACAATGTGTGAAGCCCATTTCTAATATTCATTCATTCAATCCTTACCAACACTACAATGAAAATGACATTTTCTACATCACGCCAAAGACTAGGGTTCGATTACTCACATGGGTACAAAGTGTGATGCCCATTTCATCCATCCATCCATTCATTCATTCATTCATTCATTCATTCATTACAAACACTACAATAAATAGTTGCACATGAACATGTTGGCTAATGTTATACTTTCAATAAATATTTTTGTTACATCATGTAGGAAGATTTCATTTCATGTTCAGAAGCTTAACATTCTTTATTGCCAATAATTGATTGATTTTGTTTGTGCTGGATACATGCAGGGATGTCAGTCTTCTGTTTGCAGATCAACACATGCAGAGAGACACTGGACTGACAAGGACAAAGAAGAACACAATGATTGATGAGATATAACAGCCACGGAGTATTACCTTGTTCTTCCTGTGGAACTGTGAGCCAACCTCCTCCTGTATGATATTGTACGGCAGGTAAATGTCCAGGTAGTAGACATTGGAACGAGTGTCCAGCACCACACGGTCCTCCCCACATCCAGGGTCAGCGTGTTGGCCGTCTTCTGAAACAGTGGATGGAGACACGCCCATGCAGGGTACAGTTGGACCGACCCTCAGTTGCCTCCACCATGTGGTGTCAGTTGGCAGTATGGGGCACAGGGACAGGCACACTGTAGTTATGTTGGGCAATGCTGGAGCAACAAGACACACATGGGCATGATCCACAGAGCACTACAATTTGTGCAAGCCAATGATAATCCCTATAGCGAAAATACTAGGGCTGCACAATATATTTACCGGTTCAGATATGAACACGATATGTATTGCGATATGCTGATCGAAAACCGCTATTTGACATGCATTCGGAAAACTTCGTAACACCAGGAAATCTTCGGATATTTCCGTTTTTTAAATCGTTCCTTTCCTTGTTTCATTTGTGCCAAATATTATTTACATTTATACTTTGTCATCATTAAAAGTTTTTATCAAAGCCTAGTCAAGCATAATGATTTTGTTCTGTTTTTGCTTTATAAATCAAGCATTAATTCGATAATAAGTAGTTTTTGTTAAAAAAACCCTTCTTGCAACATATTGCAATACATATCGCAATAGATGCTTTCGCATCGCAATATATTGCAATATGCAAATTCTATGCAATACCCACCCCTAGAAAATACATCATAATGCTACAAAAGCTTTGTGGATCAGCACCCATGACACTATGAGCGCAGCAAAATACTGTAACCAACCAAACCTAGATAAAGATAGTCATCATTATATACTCCAGCTTTGTTGTTACATTGGTGATGTCACATAATTCATTCTTGTTCTGTTCATGGAACATACAAGAAACAAGCTTTGATACAAGAGAAGCCTGTGTCCTAAATCTAAGGCTAGACAGGCAGTTTTCACTGACAGGTTCTAAGACTCGCAGAGAAAGAAATGTCTATTAGTGATTTCCAATGACTCATGTCAAACTTTGAGGAGTGGGGGCGGTGGGGTAGCTTAGTGGTTACAGTGTTTGCCTGTCACTCCGAAGACCCAGGTTGTATTCCCCATATGGGTATGAGGTGTGAAGCCCATTTCTGGTGTCCCCTGCCGTGATATTGCTGGAATATTGCTAAAAGCAGCGTAAAACTAAACTCACTCACTCACACTTTGAGCAGTGGGAACATATTTCACCACCACCAGGGCAACCGACACTGAGACACTGAGAGTGAGCAAAATTCCAGATAATCACTGTGGTCAACAAATATTTGATTCTGCATAAGCCAACTGGTGACTTATACTTTAACAACATTCCAGATTATAGCCAGGGGCATAGCTACCATTATAAAAAATGCCCAGGGCTTACACATGATTGTTGGTATAAAGGTTGGGCTAGACCTCAATACTATCTAATTAAGAAGCTTGGCAACCTTTCGGGTTTACATGAAAAATTGGCTTGCTACGTGCCTGACAGCCAAGTTACACACTACATCTACCCATTCTCCATACGACAAGTATAGGATGATGGAGGCCTGTTATGACCTTGAACCAATCTTACATGGAATATGGTGAATTACAAGCTCATGACATCCTAAAAACATGAAACACAATAGGGGTTAATGCTTCTGTCTGTGAAACTGAGGATGTCAACAACTTGGACTGTTACGTACAACTTTCGGCAGCTCGATTTCTGCCACCAGGAATTCAGGATGGCCTTCCACTGGTTCCTGGACTATCTTGAACTTTGGTTCGGGGCCTCTGCAGAGAATATCATGCAGTACAGAATGGGTAATGGCAACACAATAGAATCTGCCAAGTCACAAAGTACAGCTGAATTCATTAAGGCCTATCATTGAAAATGCTTAGTCAACATGGAACTAATTTAATAAGGCATGTTGAAGGAAACATAATTAATTTGTGAAACTAAACCACAGTTGAAACTCCAGAAATAAGCATCCTCCCTGAACTGTAAATCAAGTTCGAGACAAATCATGAATTAAACACCCACATTGTGAGACATATGGGTTAAAAGTTGATGAATATAGCAGAGTTCTGGACTATGAGCTCAACACAACAAGAGATTAGACATACCTTAGTTTGAGACAATGTGGTTGAATGTGTGGGAATGAACTGGACCATTTGTGTGATGACCATTTGTGTGATGTGTCTTGACCACACATAAATGTACATTTGTATGAGTAAGCACAGAAACTTATCTACTTATGGTTACCAGTAAACCTCTCTGTCTGCAGGACTCTGAACTTACTTCTTGACTTCTGTTTGGGGTATCTCCTGCACTAGGGGTTTGGCTGGTGGGGTAGGAGTGGGCATCTCGGGGTCTCTGCAACACGAGGAGAGGGTCAAAGTAAGCGACATCCTGATAAACTACCAGGCTTTTCACAAGGAACTTGATAGTATCTCAGTTGTATCCTTTTGAGTTAGTTCATTGTGAAAGGAAAGCTTTTGAGTTATCTACCTTTAGCCTGGGCACACTCATATTCTTCACTGTATGATGGCAGAGGTAGTGTGAACAGTGGCACCAAAACGGTAAGGCGCAAAAGTTATGTGAAGACCTCAGCCCAATGATGTAACGTCAAGTAAGTATAAAACAATTACATTTAACCAAAATGCTCACATTTTATCTTACCTGACACTACACAGTGCTTTAGCAGTGTAGCAAGCCAATTTGCAATTATTATTATTATATGATGTAAGCCAATAGGTTGCAATGCTTTATTTTTAGATAGTATTGAGGGCTTGCCCAACCTTTATAGCAACAATCTTTATATAGATAGTAAGCCCAACCTTTTTATAGCAACAATCATGTGTAAGCCCAGGTTTTTTTTTATAATGGTAGCTACGCCGCTGTTTAGTTGACTGACATGGAAAGCTGGCTTACAGTAATTAGTGCCAGTTATACTGAGCAAGTGGAGGAAGCACTGTGTAAACATCAGGCAAAGACACTTCTAATATTGTCAGGGAAAGGATATTCTGGAGGAAAATATCTGCCAAGGTAAAAATCCAAGAAAAATCCAAGGTGAGTTCCATACATGTCTTGCGTTGGCAGACTTGGAAAAAATACCAGGGAGCCTGGGCTAAAGGTAGATAACTCAGGGGTATTGGGGCATAGACTTGAATCTGTTTCAAGAGTCTCTCAGTTCTAGTACTCTCTGATTGGCCAAAGGTTGGGAGCTAAAGCACTGTGTAGCTTGAGGTAAGGAAAAACATGGAAGTGTGTAACAACCCCTGAAGCCCTACATACCGGTCACCCATGTCCATGATGAAGGGTTTGGACTTGGTTCTGACATTCTGTTCTTGCAGTTGACCCATAGACTTGCGGTTCTTCAACACCACATACTCTACAACAAACACATGTATATGGGCAGATAAACTTAGGGTTCTACAACAACACATAATAAATAATAATTAGTGAATTTATAAAGCGCTAAAATACTCCAGGCACTAAGTGTCTGCTCTAAGCGCTATGATGAGTATATACAGGGTATTTAAATGAGTAGGAACGTAGAAATCTAGCAGTGATCATATTTTCGGAAAAGGAATGTCTTTAAATGAGATTTGAAGTTGTCTAGGGTTGGTGACAGTCTAATATCATGGGGAACAGAGTTCCAGAGAAAAGGAGCAGCATAGCTGAAAGAGCGGTAGCCAAATGACTTCAGATGGCGTTTTGGTATCTCCAGAAGATGACGATTTCCTGATCTTAATGTTTTCACAGGACTGTGCTTGGAGAGTAGGTCAGTTAGATAACTTGGCGCAGTTGAGTGAAAGCACTGAGTGTGAGAGTCTTAAATTCTATTCTTGCTCGTACTGGCAGCCAATGCAAGGACTTCAAGGCAGGCGTGATGTGAGAGCGCTTCTTTGTTCTGCTGATGATCCTTGCACCAGTGTTCTGCACATTCTGCAGCTTTATGAGGAGTCTCTCTGGCAAGCCGTAATACAGACTGTTATAGTAGTCTAAACGTGATTGGACTAACGAGTACATAAGGACACAAGTGGCTTCTCTGGAGAGCATTTGTGTCGACTGTAGACTTCTGCAATGTTGTAACCTGGGCCCCCGTTTCCTACAAAGATGGTGATAACAGCTTCTGCAAGTGTTGGTAACCTGGCTCTCCATTTGCAGATCAGAGTCAATCACAACACCACGGTTTTTGACAGCAAAAGAGAACGGTATGTTGGCATTACCAATAGAAATGTCCCAGTCTCCAAAAGGATGTGTTTTCTGTCTTTTGTCCAACAATGATTGCTTCAGTTTTTCCATCTTTCATCTTCAGTTTGTTACAAGTCAGCCATGACTTGATGGTAATAGTACACTCCTCTAGATGGGAGATAGCATTCTGGGAGTCTCTAACTGCAAATGTTCTCAGAAGTTGCATGTCGTCTGCGTAGCCATGATGATCAACACCTTGTGCCTCGATAGAATCACCAAGAGCCTTGATGTACAGCGTGAACAAGAGAGGACCAAGCACGGATCCTTGGGGTACACCGAAAGATAGAAACTCTCTTTGTGAAGACACATTAGATATCTGTACTGTGTGTACATACACACAATTACACGGGCAGATAGACTTGCGGTTCTTCAACACCACATACAACAAACACATGTATAAGGGCAGATAAACTTAGGGTTCTACAACAACACATACACACAACTACAAGGGCAGATAGACTTGAGGTTCTTCAACACATACACTGCATACAGGAGCAGATTCACAGCCAAGTAACAGTTTGAAAGTTATACAACCAGGACACAGCTGACATATAACAATATGTTAATGTGACATGCAAAGTTGAATCTGAAAGTTACAAGTCTTAGGCTACCTACAGTTTATATCTTATACAAAACAAATCCCACTAATTCTCAGCTTTAACTTGATAGTAATTTGATCAAAACCAGATTTTTCTCCTCTCGACCATTATAACTAGTTATTGGGATTTCATGCTGCTTAGTTCTGTTACTCAAGCTATACCACATTATACCACACTATATCACATTATACCACATTATACCACATTATACCACACTATACCACATTATACCACACTATATCACATACCACATTATATCACATTATATCACATTATATCACATTATATCACATTATACCACAGTATATCACGTTATACCACATTATATCACATTATAACACATCATAAATGTGACCAATCTAGCCTTGATTTGTATCACTGATAAACTGGTGACCAGATGTGACTTGAATCACTTATAGACTCACAGCCACATGTGTCTTACATCAATGATAGATTCACACCATGTGAGATTGTATTAGTGGTATTGATGAGGGTATTAACATCAAGTCATGTTTCTTCTGCATGAAAACCTGAAGCCAAATACACATACAGTACAACAACCAGAAATTATTGAGAATTTAAAGATTGTAATTTTTTTTATTTTCTTCACTCATTACTCATGTATTAAATGTGAATATTAGCAGAACATAACTCCAGATTCAAAGACAGGTGAACAGTTAGTATTTTGTCAATTCACCATGGGCAGCAATGCAGGCTTCAATGCGGCGGGGCATACTACTGATCAAAGAAGTTAGAAAGTCGTGGTCCATGCTGTCCCAATATCGGACCACCTCTTCTTTCATTTCAGCAATATTTCAGATATTTCTTATTGACACTTTCCTTCATAAGTCCCCAAACATTTTCTATTGGATTTAGGTCAGGGTATAGCTTGGCCAATCTAATAATTCCATATTTGGGGTCCGAAACCAGGCCTGTGAATGCTTTGAACGATGTTTTGGGTTGTTGTCCTGCTGGAAAATCCAATAATTTCCATAGAACACATGAGCAGATGGAAGTAAATGTCCCTTGAGAATATCTGTGTACCGCTCACTGTCCATATTCCCTTCAAATACACAGAGGGGCGTTGCCCCTAACACAGATATGCCACCCCACACGTTAACTTTCGGACTGTACTTTGGGCGCTGATACAAAGGTTTTTCAGTTTGTTTGGTCCAGAATTTCAGTGTATTAGGAAACAGCCACACAGAACTTTCATCTGAGAAAATCACATTGTCCCAGTTAAAATTTCTGTGCCGTAAGCACCAGTTCAACCTTCGCTCCTTTTGTTCAGGTTTCATGATCGGTGATGGAATTCCTCGAGTTTTCTGCCAACCCATTGCATGCAGCTCAGTTCTAATTGTCTCCTTACAGACAGCCACAGTTCCTCTATCAATATCCAGCCTTAAGTTTTCTAAACTCCTTCCTTTGTTTTTAGAAACAAGAATACCATGCCACCTCCTGTCACCGATAGTCAATTTCTGGGCCTACCTGCGCCTCCCTGGTGCTCAATGCCATATCCATTTGCAATATTTTTCAAAACATGATAAACAGTGGACAAAGGGATGCCTGTTCTACTTGAAATCACTTTAACTGATCTGATGTCCTTGTTATAATACTCTAAAATCAACTTCCTTTTCTCTAAATCATCCTCGTCACGATATGGCTGCGATATTGCCGATGTGACGTTAAATATTAACTCACTCACTTCTCTAAATCATCCATACTGAGGATCACTGAAAATGTCTGTCTGCTAGCAAGTAAACAAAGTGGGATAACTCTTCACAAACTAATGAAAAAGGATTAACGGAGTTGTCTCTCTTGAATGAAACCAAGCACTTGATAGCTGGTCAAGGTTGTTTATACTAGAAATCCAATTAAACATATTCCTAAAATTCTCAATAATTTCTGGTCATACTATTCAACCCATCTCACCTTGGTTGAGCTGGACGTCGAACTTCCCCTCGATACCCTCACGGGTCACCTGGATGAAGAAAGCCAGGAACATCTTGCTGGTTTCAACCTTCTTCAGGAACGTGGGATGGATGATGACATCATAGGCCGTGCACCCCGCACCACCTAAGAGCACAGGAAACGTTCAACTCGACTCACAGATTTGTGTGTACTGAACATGCTGAACATAAACAAAGAAGACACATTTTGATTCCACTTTTTAAAGTGGCATATTTACTATGTGGATCTAAATATCCACCATGCTCCATAATAGGGCTGTGCAATATTACCGGTAAACTGGTATATACCGGTACAGTATCTCACGATACGATTATTGCGATATGGTTCAGATTCTGCAATATATTGGGTCATCCAGAGTTAGATCCCTTTGCATTATCTGCCCTTGATTTCCAAGCAAAAAAATGTGCTCTAAAAGTGCCAAATATACTTATATTTCTGTTGGTTTCATGTAACATTTTACAAGTGGGAGTATCTTTATAAGTGGCTCCCAAAGTGCCAAATATTCTACCAAATGTGTTACGTTTTGTGGGTTTGAATGGTTTCATATGTGACATTTTGGAGGAATTAAGCACTGTGTATGATCCCATACAGTGCAAACCGGATATAGTGCGCTGTGAGCTGTACGCTCATGCTTTGGTTCATAGATATGTCGTCTGAACAGGTATGCTCGATCAAAAACGTGTATTTAAAGACAAAGTACAGTATAATTTTACATGCAAATAGGCTGCGCTACAACATTAGATAACTTCGATATAACAGTTACAGTAATTATTAGCGACATATTTGTATGTTAATGAAAACACACAATATTTTTACTCTTATGATCAGGCCAAATTATGGGACAAACTTGTGCTCTTTCGCTTTTTTACTCACATATACCATCATGTTAGCCTAAAGAGCTACACGTATTCTATTCGTAATAGATTTTACAATGTATGTGTGAATTTTCATGTTTCAAAGTTGTTTAGTTATATGATGATATCAATGAATTCACTGGCAACAATGCAGCATCACTGTACTGGATTATAGCCGAAACTGTTTGTTTCTCTGTATGGAATATAGCGCATAGCTGAATAACGTCCTGACTGAGAGCTTATTCAAAAGGTGCTTTATTGATATATTTGGACATATTCAACGATGTATATATTGTACTGGTATATCTTGTTTTGAGAGAACTTATTATGAAAGCATATTTGGAATGTCTCCAATCACAAGTTACAGCTTTCAGAAATTTGTCATGTGCAAGAGTTTCTCCAACTCTGAGTTGTCTCAACTGTCTAACGTGACCACTGCAAATCTTATTGACATCATGACCCATGACATCATGACCAAACGACTTGAACTACTTTTTTTGTTTGTCTGAACATTCAGTAACCTGTTCTAATTCACTTAAATTCCAAACTGTTAAAAAGTTCTTCACAACTTTCCAAAATACAGAGCTTAGGTGGTTTAACATTTTTCGATGAGAGTCGGATGCTCCTAAACCCCACATAAATCAACGTCCCCTAACTTTCCACTCGTACAGACATTGGTTTTCTTTCCATTAACACACAGTTTGTAAGTGTTAACCTGTTTTGGGTCAGTTTTAGCAATCCTGTCCTGCATTTGCAAGAAGGTACAAGTTGGTTGTCTTCAAGAGGACCTTTCATTCTGTCCAGAACAGTCCTATCAGGAACTGCGAAGTTGATTTTGGAATCATTAGGAACAAACACACCACTAGGGACTTTTCCCTCTGTCACTGTGCCAGTGTTTTTCAGCCCAATTCTCCAAAAACACTTTGTAACCCCACTGTATCTCATCAGTACCGTGTTGTGGAGTGAATACCACGATACCACTTCAGAAAACAGCATGAACGCAATATTGTCCAAGGGAAATGAATTTGAAGCAACCAATCGTTTAAAGTTAAGAAACAGATAATCATGCTTGATGTCCTTTAAGTTATTTTAGACTAGTGGGAGCAATTCTATCATTTCTTTCACAGAACCTCCATCAAAACTCCCACATGCAGGAATAACAATTGTCGACGAGGTCCGAGTGCTAGCTTCATGCGAGGAAAATGTTTTTGTATTCCTATCTAGTTCCTCTGTTAACTCATTCATTGACAAGGCTTGCATCTGGCCAAACACACCCTCCTTCATATCACATTTAGACTTTTTCTTTAGGGGACTGAATACTTCAGTTTGAAATTTTGGGTTTGAAGAAAAAAAATTAAGATAAGATATTAGACTTTGTATTTTAATTCACTGGATGGGAGACTGATAATACATTGGTCACTGATAATGTTGAAAGAATTTGTCCGAAAATCAGAATAATAGCAAACTGAAGTGTTCATTTAGTCGACCTGTGTTGAATTTAGAAGTAAGAGAATATGGTGCAAAATATATAATTAGGAAGTTCAATTATTTAGAAATGATAACATGAACTAACTAGAAACCGTACAGTGATTTGTTTTGAAAGCGCTATCAACCAGCTCTATTAGGGGCTATCAACTTGTAAGGTGATGATACTTAGGTGGGTAACCTTTAACTCTCGTGTAAAGAAACGAATACTCTATGTTAGGAATATTTCACACCATTTGAAAGCATATTTATCACATATTTCATATGTTGTCAAATTATACCAAGAAACTGCGAATTTAAGGCATATTGTGGCTTTATTTCCGATGTTTTCTGAGGAGCAAAATCGTCGATGCGCTTTTGATATTTGAATGAATTTAGAGGGTCATTATTCAAATTAGCAGTGAATTATAGTTTATAAGAGTAAGAAGAAGTGTTTCGCTCATTTTAGTACTTGAACTATACTCACAGTAACAAAAAAAACCAGAAAAAATGAGCCCATGACAACTTTTCTATCAACCAAAGCATGAACGTACAGCACACTATATCCAGTTTGCACTGTAGGAGACCCCACCAATTATAATTTATGGCTTGGGGGGGGTGATGATGATTTTTATGGAGAAGCATGTACAATGTGAATGACCCCCCTAAAATTTATGTACAAAATAAGTGAACACCCTCTCTCCCTCCCCCCTGCATATCATGTACAAAATCAATGACCCCCCTCCCCTTCCCATAATTTCTTAGCGTAATTTTAAACATAGTGTTATGTACAAACTTGCTGAACACCCCTAAAGCGTGTGTACAAAACTGCTGACCCCCCAAAAAACCCTGCTGAACCCCCTTATAAACACTGACCATGAAACTTATGTTATACTATTACTAAACTTTATCATTATGTTCTCAAACCTTTTTGCACTACCTCAATTAAACATTCCACATTAAGGTTCTATATCATTTTATTTATCCGTAAACCATTGGCATACAGCCATGCACAATGAGGACTGGGAGCCTGAAAGTATGGTGTAACAGCAACTAAGAAGATAATGTTGCACACACACAGAGCTATTATGAATTTATGATGTACGCACTTGGGCAGAAACCCTCCATTCAATATATCACAATATATATTGCAATATCTCTTAAATTATTGCAATATATGGCAATATGAGAATAAGGGCAATATCCAGCCCTACTCCATAAGCTCTAAGTGAACAACACACTCATTCAAGGATACTGTTTACATAGTGTTTCCTATTTCAGCATATTCTGACATCCTATTTCCCCTACTTGACCATTATTTACAGTGACAGCAATGTTAAACTGGTCTGACGCCTGCCTACCTTTATCCATCTCTGCATGTGGTTCTCCTATAGACATTGGTATCCGGAACCCAGTGGGGTCGTCAGATTCCAGCAGCTCTATCAACTCTGCCTCTGTTAAATCTTTCGGTTCTGGTACCTGTCAGGTGTAACACTGGTTAATTAATGAGTGGGAATATGGGTGGGAAAGGGTTGAGACCAGTGTCTGAAACTCAGCAGAGTAAACTGAGAGCCTTAACAGCCTGCACTTTTAAAATATAGCAAGCACAGTGTACAGCGAACCTATCCTGTCATAGATACTAAAATAGAGAGAAAGAGAAAGAGAAAGAGAAAGAGAATATGCAGATATTATAACAAATCACAAAGAAACATACTCACATTGTCTGAGATACAAACATTAATGAAGACTTTTTCATTCTTCTCTGTCTTCATTTTCACACATAATCCTGCAAAAAGAGATCAGAAAAACCTGCAAAATGTTGGAAATACTCAGAAATTGTGAGACACTGAATCAAGTAAAATTTATACATTACACATGTTAGGATTGTTGTTTTTCCAGTTTAGATAGTAATATCACTTACACAATATTACAGTGTATAATAACCCCTGGGTGTTGAGTAAGATATTCACACATGCTAGAAATTTTAGTACTAGCAGCAGGGATAAATGTTTTCCAATATTTTGGCTTTGAGTAAATTTTGTTGACTTGGATGGTTGGGATAAAACATGGACATTAATTTTGTGAACATTTCTGTTTATTTTGGAGCACTCAAGTGACTATGTGCTTGCCAAGGAAAGGACTAATTTACTACAAGTTTATGTCAAGGCATCATTATTAAAACCTTTCATGAGTTTGTAGACATGCTATTGCTGGTGTTAACATGCTAGGATTAATAGGAAATAATATCATACATAAGAAAAAATGGTAGGGTGGTATACAGCAGATAACTCCTGAAACTGATCAGTGGGTGCAAAATGTGGCAATAAGGGTCTTATGAAACATCAATTTTAGCCGATGTATTTTAGGTGCTCTTGAAATAAAAACTTTGTGAAAATTATTTTGTACCATTACTTCCGAGGTTACCTTAGTAACATTGTCACCACCTGATTCATAGTAAAAATACTTCTCTTGCACACAAAGCACTGAGTAAACATATTCGGGCTCTATATATGCTACTTGTCCTTCAGTAACCTACCTGGTATAGGTACCAGAGTGGTGTAGCCTGGGCCCTCTGGCGGGCCTCCTGGATGTTCCCCATAGGGCTGCATGCTGCAGGATCCTGGAATCACATCAACAGTTGAATGGCATTTCTGGATCATCTTCCTATATGTGATTGAATTCATTAATGTTAATGATATAATAAAGGAAATGTAATGTTAAGGGTTATGTACTCATCACTACTTCACGTACATTGTTCTTTTTTTCATCAAGAATATTTTTATTTCATCATATTTTTCATTCATTTTTGTGGAAGCCATGGTGGCTGAGTGGGCTAGATTGCTGATTTTGTATGCTGGCAATTAGGTGCCTCACCCTGAGAGTGAGGTTTCGAATCCTGGATGGGACTCAACTAATAAAGTACTAGAATTTGTACTTTTCCGAAAAAGTGTAATCCCACATATAATCTGTGTTGCATCTCTCATGAGGTAGAATATTTGTACTCAAATTCGGGTTAAACCTAAACTGTAGTTTAGCTCCAAAATTTGTTCAAGTTGAATTGCATTCCAATGTTTATCATTATCATCAATAAGAAATGTTTCAAACAATTTGTTGACTACCAGTAGAGGCAGATCAATATTAACATAGCCATGCACATGTTACCAATAAAACTTTGAGTAGAAAAGATTGTAGAGACAGAATAAAATCTGCATCACCTTCTTGTTCAGATCATATTTACATGATACCCCATACATGCTTTTGACTAAGGATCATCTTATGCAAGGTGCTCATTTGGTCTCTTTTCAATAAATGTTCCTTTTAGGATTCATATTTTTCTAATCATGTTTGGATAAATATTAGTACTAATCATATAACCTCAGAGTTTTGGTCCTGCTTATACTAGCGAGTCCGGTAATTCTGCGCTGCTGCAATAGCGTACTTCCGTATCGAGGTAAACATCATCTGCTACCACATTTATGCTTGAAATCGGGACATTTCTACAAGGGACTGGCTTTTAATCACTAAAGGTAAGTAAATAACAGTAACTGAGAGATAAAAAATTGACAGTTTTATGAAGATTCGTTTTCATCGGACTTTTAAACCTTTTTCTTCATTATTCATAATTAGATTTAATATGAAACACTCTTCCTTACATTGATGAAGTGATTTTTTAAATAATCTGGCCCTAATACGCTTCCATACTTCGGATCTCTATCTGGATGTTATGCGCATCAGTTGCTGCGCAGAATTACCGGACAGCAAGCGATGTCGTCAGAACGCCGGTAAGGTCAACTGTATGGTATATTGCAACGTTAGAATCTTATAGTCGTCAATAAACTTATATTTCTAGGTAAATATGATGCATACCAGCATGTTTAGTCACGTAAGCCACAAAAAATAAGAGACGTTAGTTGCCGTGTTGCGATCTATGTGCTTAGGTGTGCGGAATTACAGGTCGGCATTTTACATGTATATGTTCACAAAAAAGACTTTGTTTGCTTGAATTAACATTCATTAGCAATTACAATTTGATAATTTTTTAACAAATCTGATTGTGAAATTGGTAAAAACACAACATTATCACTGATTTCTTTTAACTTTCAAATTACTGGTCCCTGTATAAGAAAAAAAACCCATTTATTTGTAATGATATCCCGAACTCGATCAGTGACATGACAGATTCCTGAAGGATGTGGTCCGTGTGCCTGTGTAACCTGGTTACGGTCACAAAACTATTTCAACATCAAACAAATTTTACCGTATCTAACATTAATCGATTCAACAAACTCTGAGCTTCGTCAGCGCTTGGTTCAAGCAGAGAAGTCATTTTAAAGTGTCAGCTGAACACCCTCGCAAAATGTACTGCAATTTGCGTTCCCAACCAAAACATAAACATGCTACAACATGGAGGCGGCCATTACGGGTGACATGTGAATCCAATCACCGTTAAGATTACAGCTATAGACCTTGACCTCAAATGACCGAATTATTTACACCAATCAACGTCGTTCTAAGTAAGCAACGGTGGAACGTCATTGACCTTCTCAAAATGGCTGCCACAGGTGCGAGTGGGCAAACTTCCAATAGTGTGTCAAATATTTTCGAAAGTTTAAGCTACGGACCGGCACCAGAAGCTGACAATGTCGCAAAGGTGATGTATTTTCTTTGTTGCGCTAAGAATTAAACTTAACTGAAAGTGGTATTCTGTTCAACGCAAGCCGGTCTTAAACTAGGCCGTCAATCAACTTAGCCTTAGGCCCAGCTCGATTATCACCAAACTGCTGATTTGTCGGATCTGTTAATTGGTTGTTTGACCTTGATTCTGTAAGGTTATCATCGAGTTTGCACTGTAAATATCTCATTAATATAAATGCATATTTTCAAAGTTTTCAACTTTTCAAGTGACTGTTACAGTGCCTCTCATGCATTGTATTGTTGACAGGAAAAGAGTGCAAAGGCCATATCCATGTTAGGAACTGAAGTCCAATAAGTGGGGCACATCTCTCTGTAAGGCAAAGCTACTCGTATCAAGCTTGCTGAACACGGAGTTGTTTACCCAATAAATATTTCAATTCAAGGGCAGATTATGTCCTAAGTATCCCAGGTCAGTTCATGTCATTTCGTATCATGGTAGCTTTGTTGCTTCAATTCAGTTCAAGATTTGCTTACATTCAGAAAGTGGTCATATGTTATATTTGGGATTAAACTTAAGGTCAGCTGTTTAACCCATACAGCCACCGCGTCTTCCACAAAAATGGAAGTCAGACAACTGGTAGTGGACATTGCGTACCCCTCTATGTATTCATAGCTTTCAGCCGTGGGAGCCGTGCCAATTTACACTTATCAGAGGGGTACACAAATTCCACAGTCCAGACTATCAGTTGTCTGACTTCCATTATTGTGAAAGCCACGGTGGCTGAGCAAGTAAAGGTAATATGAGCATGAATCGACGGGGATGAATAGGATTTTATTCTCTTTTGGAGGTGATTTGTTTGTTTTGTTATCACCAAGATCACTATTACTATCAGATTAACCTCAACTATAACCTTCCTTTCTCATAATGGTCAGTAATGAAACATGTTTATTCTCTGAATGCATCAGTGGTGGCTACAATGATTTTCTCTTACAGGCCTGGCTGGATGACCATAAGAGAGAATTCGGACATTTCATCAATGGAAAGTGGCACAAACCGGAGGGACGCAAATATTACCAAACAAAGTCCCCTGCAACAGGTAGTGTAAACAATTTAAAAATCTGAAAGCTAGTGTATGTAGAGTTTAGACGAAGGCAGCTCAGAAAGCTTCATGATAAAGTTCACAAAGAATCACATGCACTGAAGTAGAGTTATGTATGCTGAGGTACAGATAAACCTGTGTATCTGCGTAAATTATGCAAATATTTATGTGAAAACTCAATTTCTATTAAGTCTATTGCATACAAGTACGCTTGCATTTTTGTAAATACTCAATAAATGTGATCTTACATGCGTACCCACAAAAATGTCAAATCTTAGCTTGCGTGCCGATGGATAGATAAAATAACTGAGGTATATTGAGAGATTCTATTTCAGGACATGAACTTGGCAACTTGCAGTATTTCTTATCGTTTCTCATATTACAGATCAAATATAAATAACAAACACTAACATTTAAACTTTATTACATTTTCAAAATTAATGGAAAATGGCAAAATACCCAATTGAGTTTGAGTGAGGTGAGTACAATTTATTTGGTTGCTCAAAAACAAATATAGGATACCCAATTGAGATGAACACAAGTGAGTACATAACTCAATGACCCCAAAAGTTATCTGTAGCTCTGTTTATGTATTTGTATTTCCAGGTGAGACCTTGGCTTCAACAATCCAGGGTGAGGAAGCAGATGTTGAATGTGCTGTTCGTGCAGCCAGAAATGCACTGGATGACTGGCGGGATGCACCCCCTCATGTGAGGGCCAGACATCTGTACAGGTAGAGCTCAGCTTTTACTTTAGTTCTAGGACTTGTAGGATAGGGTTGCAGTGTATGAAATAGTTTCCAAATTTTGCTAGCCAGTCGGGCTAGCTATGCCTGAAAGTTACAAGCCCACAAAATAATTTGCTAGCTTGAAATTTGAATGTAGAAACTAAGGGAAAGCTTACAAAAATAGATAAGAATAAGAGACATGTATTGACACAGGTTTTGTTATTAAGCTGCTAATATGATGAACATTTTTATCAGGCCATAATCTTGCATGATTTAAAAGTGCATTACAACTTAACAAGTCGGAGAAAGTGATATATTTACAAAATGACCCCATGAAAATCCACTAGCCAGTCTGGCCAGTGAGTGGAGATTTACTGGCCTGACTGGATTTTTACTAGCCACAGGCTAGGGGGCCAGTGGCTATTTCGCACACTTGGGTTGACACAGGAGTAGTGTGATAAATTGTGATATTAGGGAGCATTTTGTTCACATACACATTTGCATATACATTTGTGTTTTGCAGATTTTTCTTTTAGTCACTTCAAGAGACATTAGACTGGAGACAAAAATATAAGTAATATCAGGGTTAACTTGAGGTTAATTATTTGTATAGTAACAAAATTAGCAAAGTGAATGTGTCTAGGTGGAGGACAAGAGTTAATGTATTAACAGTAAAATGCAGGACTGGAGGCCGTGTTTTAACAACAGAGTATTCTGTTAGTAACACTCTTATGATAATGTTTGTTCCTTCTTTACAGCATAGCCCGGCATGTCCAGAAACATCAGCGTCTACTGAGTGTGATGGAGGCAATGGATAATGGCAAACCCATCCGGGAGACGAGAGATGCAGACATCCCAACCGTAGTGCGTCACTTCTACCACCATGCTGGCTGGGCACAGCTGATGCCAACAGAGATGAAAGGATGGAAACCTGTTGGTGAGCATGACGAACCTGTTACAATTCTAGCTCACTAATATAGCCAATTTGTATTGATATATACAATTTGTATATGTGATTTCAGGGCATTGGATAGCCTAACCAAGCGATATTTTTGAAGTTTATGGTCCCATAAATGGAATAAGAATTATGCCTTTCCACTGCACAATTTTCTGATTGATCAAAGGGTTTGCGTTATTGTGGTGAGCGATGTACCTGATTTTCATTTTGTAGTCTGACAGTTTGTTAAATGATTAAATAAGCAATCTTTAAAGTGAGTGAGTTTAGTTTTAGGCCGCTTTTAACAATATTCAAGTAATGTCACAGCGGGGGACACCAGAAATGGGCTTTTCACATTGTACCCATGTGGGGAATCAAACCCTGATCTTCAGCATGAAGAGCGAACACATTAACCACTGGGCTACCCCACCGCTACATTGAAGAACGAACTGAGAAGTGATTTTATATTATGGAAGTATAAACATAGCAAAGCAGAGAATTAATGGATCATTCTCTTTCTTTCACATGTCATTTCTGCATTGCCTGTATTCTGTAAATATTGAGCTAATTTGTTGTGCGAGTGCTGACTAAGGTGTGTTTTACCAACAGGTGTTGTTGCTGGTATTGTGCCGTGGAACTTTCCTCTGATGTTGCTTACATGGAAGGTGTGTCCTGCCCTCGCCATGGGCAACACTGTCATCTTGAAACCTGCCACTTTCACTCGCCTCACAGCGCTGCTGTTCGCTGAGATATGTGCCGAGGCAGGGTTGCCTCCTGGTGTCTTCAACGTTGTGACAGGGGGGTGGAGCTTTTGGCAGCAAGTTGGCGTGTCACTCTGATGTAGACAAAGTAGCATTTACTGGATCAACAGAGGTATGTTGAAGAAAGTTATCTGTATTTGTTGTACCATTTTCTTCTCTTACTTGGACTTCCTCTATGGTTTAGTGGATAGAGCAGTTACCCGAAGAGGAAGCAAGGAAGTCTGATCCTTAACCATGTCTTACAAAAATGATTTATAATGTGGTACTTGTTGTTACCTTGCCTCCCAATGGGTATCCATGTTAAACTGCAGACAGTATGGTTTCTCAGTCCGCTGGTACTAATAGATGTGCAACAGGTATATGCATGCTATGAAAATGAAATCGACTTCAATTTGATGTTAAACGTCATTTCATCTGTCACCGTCTTCTCAAAACTACAAACTACCAACATCTACATAAACAGTTGACTTTGTCATGGAGAGGATCTTATTGTCACCCCAAATTTTTCAACAAGACGCTTATCTTTGTTTCATGTAAACTTATAATGATGATTATGTTACTGGCAAGGATTTTAGGATATAACATATTGCATGATCAAGTTTTGTTGGTCTTTGTCAGCCTGTAGTAAGTTGGGGATGCTGTTAGCATTCGTTCTGTCAGGAAGGTTTTATCTTATGTGCTGTGTGGAACTGAACAAAGTGTACACATATTATTGTTAAGAGAAAACAACATTTCGGCATGTATGTGTATACCATCATCAAGCTTGTTGTGTATAACAAAAAACTTGTTTGAAAGGACTGTGAGCTACCTGAAACTGACTCTCTTTAAAGTCATTATATGATTTGTAGCTGTTGTGAGGGGGAATGTTATCAACATTAAGTCTTGAAAGGTTTTTTATGGGCCTCTTTACCAATTCACAATTTCCTCTTCAGGTTGGACAGATTCTGCGTCATGTTACAGCTGGGAGCGGCAAGAAGCTGTCGCTCGAGTTAGGAGGGAAATCTCCTGTTGTTGTGTTTGAGTCAGCTGATCTGGACTCGGGCAGTCGAGGGTATTGTCGATGCCATCTGGTTCAACCAGGGACAGGTGAGTAGTGTAGCACTCCAGATTCAGGTTGACCCATGTGTTACATCACCAGGAAGTAGATGCTACAATTGTTGTTTAGAGCTTCAACCATGTGCTGTCTAGATTAGACACAGGTGCATCTGTTTTGAGAAACAATAAAATATGTGCAAGTAGCTCCACACACACTTGGTATACTGTGCCACAGATCTACTGAATTCCTGAGATAGGCCTTTCTTACACATCGGTGGAAGAGAGACTGATCTGAGATAGCTGGTGTTAATGACCTAAAGTCCAATTAGGACAGGATACTTTCCGGATCGTAATTCATTTCTAAGTTATTCTATGCCGGAGTCAAATTCATGTACGCCTTTGGCTATGTCAGAGTATTTATTGAATATTTTTTTTATGTTATTTGTTTTTAATTATCATCATAACCTTTTTGATTTTGAATGACTTCATTACCATTGTGCGGTATATTAATGCTCTACCTTGGTCATGATTGTTGACAAACTATTGATATATTTGGTGTGTAGGAAAAAGATTATTCTGCCTGTCATTTGCCTTTCGGTTCATTAGATAATTGATATCAGATAGACACTTGTGTCATAGTCTCTATATCTGTTCTAATCTTTCAAGAAATACCCACGGGTTGACCTTTCAATGCCTCCTGTTTATGAGGAAGTGATTATTTGTACTGGTATAACTGAAATACTGTTCAGAGCAGCACTAAACCAATCTCAGTCTGACATTCCTTTTAAAGATGCTTTTGTAACAGCCAGTAACACAGTGTGTAATTGTGATCTCAAGTTGCATTGTTTGCAATATATTTCAGGTGTGCAGTGCAGGATCAAGACTGCTGGCCCAGGAGTCTATCTATGACAAGTTGATTCAGAAACTGAAAGACAGACTGACTCACTTCCGTTTAGGTAACAATCTTGACAAGGCTATTGACATGGGAGCCATCGTGGACGACAGTCAGAAGCGCTCTGTGGAGGAGTTTGTAGAGCAAGCCAAGACCGAAGGGGCTGAGGTGAGAAATATTTCTTCACTCCAGCTTATATCTAATTCCATACCATTATGTTATTTAAATCTTTTTAAATGTACAATGTCTCATAGGTAGGGCTGCTCAATATAACTGGTTTACCGGTATTTACCAGTTCAGACATGAAAACAATACGTATTGCGATACACTGATCAGAAACCCGTATTTTGACATGCTTTCAGAAAACTTCGTAACATTCGGAAATCTTCGGATATTTCCGTTTTTCACACGGAAGTCAAGTTAAGTTTGGTTTGAAGTTGTGTTCTTAATTTTTTAAAGTCTTTCGCACTGTTTTGGATCTGAATGTTTACTCATTAATGACCAGTGATCTCTGATATGTCCTGACCAGGTCAAGTAAAAAATATCAGGGCATTTTTTGAGAGTGGAGAAACTAGTCCAAACTAGAAACCACCATGTTGATGTTAAATTGTTCTTTTCCTTGTTTCATTTGTGCCAAATATTATTTACATTTTCATTTTGTCATTATTAATAGTTTTTATCAAAGCTTAATCAAGCAAGGTGATTTTGTTGTGTTTTGGCTTTATAAGTCAAGCATTAACACGATTATAAGTAGTTTTTGTTAAAGAAAATTCTTGCAATATATTGCAATACATATCGGAATATATGCTTTTGCATCGCAATATATCGCAATATGACAATTCTCTGCAATACCCACCCCTACTCATAGGTCAAATATTGCTGAAGGTTGTACCTCTTATGACACCCTGTAAATGTTTTTTAATATGTATGTTCAACCTGTGACAAGTTAATAAAACATTCTCTCCATCCATCAGAGCTCAATGTGGGATTCATGTCAGTAAGAGAAGGTCCCTAGCAATCTATGCAGGTTGGAGGCAGCTATCAAAGGGGCTGGGTGACCAGACTCTTTGCTTAGTCACTTTCGATCCAGACTTGAATGTTTATAGGTGTCTGTTATATAAACAAGTTTGACAGCCTGGAATTGTGGTAGTGCTCTTTTCGAGCAGAACTCTAAAACTGTTCACTATTTCTTCACCAAACGTGGCACATAGATAGATCTGGTGGTGTACTGGTGCCTTTTGGTAGTTTTGAAATTCTGAATAAAATATTTTTGGCGTTTCCATGGCAACAAGTTTGACTTAGCCTGAAATTGTAGTAGTGCTCTTATCCGGAGCTGAACTCTAAAACTGTTCACTATTTCTTCACCAAACTTGGCACATAGATTGGTCTGGTGGTGTACTTGTGCCTTTTGGTAGTTTTGGAATTCTGAATAAAATATTTTTGGCGTTTCCATGGCAACAAGTTTGACTTAGACTGAAATTTGTGGTTGTGCTCTTTTCTGGAGCAGAACTCTAAAACCGTTCAATGTTTCTTCACCAAACTTGGCACATAGATTGGTCTGGTGGTGTACTGGTGCCTTTTGGTAGTTTTGAAATTCTGAATAAAATATTTTTGGCATTTCATATATAACCAGGATATTGCTGAGTGTGGCATTAAACAATAAAATATCAAGATACCAAGAAGAATGTAACCATGTAGCCTAAGTCCTGCAATAATTGTCTATGCAAAGTTGAATTTCCAGGTTTCAGTAGCATAATATTCGAGACAGGGACTCTAGATTTTGACTGTATCTATAACGGGATAAGATAGTCAAGTAAGTTAATGTTAATGAATGGCACTTACGACAATCTTGTCTAGCTAAGAGAGATTTTCGAGAAGCTCTTATCAAAATGAATGGGACCCAGGTCTCCTACTGTCATTGGTTGTGAAGTGGCACATAAGTGGTAAATATTTATGATCGTGTCAATTTCTCCAACTTTAAAACCCAAATTATTTATTCTGTGATTAGATTTCATCTGTAATTTAAAATAAGTCCATAGCTTTGAGTAGGAAAGTAAAGTGCATTGTTTTGCATACCTGCATTCCTAATTAGTCCGTCATGCTCCAGGTGTACCAGGCCAGTGCATGTGTACCTGCAAGGGGATGCTTCTATCCCCCAACTCTCATCACCAATGTCCAGACAGTGTCCAGGGTGGTTGTGGAGGAGGTGAGTAGCAGAATGTACATATCATGTACATATTTTGATTTCATATGAACATACACTTTACCACCACCAACATATACAGGTCATAAGAGGTGACTCAATGGATTGGATAGTCAGATATGTTGTCTTTGTAGAGTGGGTGTCATCATACTAAACAGTATGGAATGTTGCTCATGATATCAATCACTAGATTGTCTTTTCCAGACACATATTTACTGGCTGCCACCATTGTGATTATATAGTTGGAATATTACTGAATAACACTTTAACAAATTAACATATTCACTTTACGCAGTGTACTGTTGGGCGGGTGGGGTAGTCTAGTGGTGAAAGCGTTGGCTCGTCACGCCGAAGACCCAGGTTCGAATCCCCACATGGGTACAATGAGTAAAACCCATTTCTGGTGTCCCCCGCCGTGATATTGCTGGAATATTGCTAAAAGCGGCTTAAAACCAAACTCAGTCAGTCAGTCAGTGTACTGTTATTAAAACTTGATATGCTATTATGTTTCACATCACTTTAAATTCAAGAAACAGTCTTTTTACAGCTAAGTTTTTCATGCCTTATGTCAAGTTTCTGTGATGACATATCCATAGACTACCCAAAAGTACATGGTAGATAAATTGTAGATTTAAAATGATCTTATGTTAATTTACACTTTGTGTAGATTCTGAAAGACATTATTATCATTTTGACGATAGAATTACAGCTTGATTGTAGGACAATTTGGGTAGAGGGTATGTTGGATGTCAACATGGTAACCATGGTTAAGATGGCCCATGTTCCAGGTGTTTGGGCCAGTGCTGGTAGCAATGCCCTTCCGGACAGCGAAGGAAGCTGTAGCCCTGGCTAACAATACCCGGTATGGCCTGGGAGCCAGTGTGTGGACAGAGAACATCAGTCTAGCCATGGAGGTGGGACTCAGCATCAAGGCCGGCACTGTATGGGTCAACGCCCACAACCTCTTTGATGCTGCGGCTGGCTTCGGGGGCTACAAGCAGAGCGGCTACGGCAGAGATGGAGGCAAAGAGGTGAGCACCACAAAACCAGGTTTACATGTTGGAAGGATATGAAGGCATGACCAATTTGTGGATAAGAGCTTGTTTTTTGTTTGTAAAGACATTGATGTCACACAGTTGGAAATCTCTGTCATGGCATTGTACTGTTTGGTGGTGACAATGCTTAACAGATCAGATGATCAGATCGGTGCATGATACCTTGGCCGTGTGGAAAGTCATAATGTCAACTACTGGTTGGTCCAGACTTGATTATTACCATATTATAGCTGACTGTTGCAGAAACAACAAACAGAGCAATCTTTGACATTGTGTGATTTCACCTTGATTTCATTGCCTGCCATACAGTAGTGTTGAACCGCATTGACAATGTGATGTTTGTATCAGGGCCTGTATGAGTATGCGCCCTGAGTGGCAGGAGCGACCACGCCCAGGCATTGTGCAAGTCAACATGAAGACATTTGGTGCTACAGTTCCAGGTCGGCCCACCATCAATGACATTGACAAGAATGAAATACAGGTCAACGGTGTCAAGATGCCAAGGTATTGTGTTTTGAGAAAAAAGTCTATTGATTTACCTTTGACAGTCCAATTTCAGAGCAGACTCTCAGTAATCTGTACAGGGGTCAAAGGCCTGTACATTGGGTCCGAGGCTGGTACTTTTGGCATGCTACAAGATATATTGATATCATAATATTTGCCTCTTCAAAGCCACTTCAGAAGCATTGACTATGGGGGCCTGGCAATTAAGGGAGACAACTCTGCATTGACAATTACAGGATCACCCTTCACAAATAAAAATCGTTCTATGTCATGTATTTTGCACTTGTTCAGCAACCTATAATAGATACAGATACCAGTATCAGATTCAAGCGAATCAACCACTGACACCTTTAATTTTAATTTTGTTTCTTCTACATTGATAGAATACATATATATTCCAGAGTTTTAGATTTATCATGAGTGAGATTTTGTTACCTGTGTTCTCGTATTTGGCCGTTCCAGCATTGACCGGACATACAAGATGTACTACGGAGGGGCTCAGAAGCGTCCTGATGGCCAGTACACCAGACCCGTGTTGAGCTTGTCTGGGAAGGTCGTTGGCCATGTTGGTGACGGTAACAGGAAGGATATACGGAATGCTGTAGAGGCAGCTCACAAGGCTGCTCCTGGGTGAGTACATATAATAGTGGCAATAATGAGTGGAAGCGGCGCTGGCTAAGTGGGTTAGACAGCTCAATGACAAGGCGGGCGCTGGCTGTGGGTAGAGTACATATAATAGTACATACAATAATGAGAGGAAGCGGCTGCTGGCTAAGTGGGTTAGACAGCTAACTTCCTGTGTACATATAATAGTGGATTAGGTGTCTGACTGTGCTGTGTGCTGGTGATTAGGTGTCTGACTCAGAGAGTGTGGGTTCGATTCCCAGATGGAACTCAACCCAACAAAAGTTCTTTACTGAGAAAGTGTAATCCCAAATATAACATATGTTATTAATGATGGGCAACTTGAAACTCCACACTGGGACACGCTTGAATTGAATGAGATTATTGCACCAGTTCAATGGATCAGGGTGCATTCTTAATACATTCTCAGCTCTTAGGGAGTGTACAATCCAAGATGTCTGTCAGGTGCCAGGTATGGAATGTTTGAATGGTGTTAGAAGTTAAATGCATAATGGGGAAAATTTGATGTCAACTCTGTGTGTTATGAGGACATGACATTTTCCCCCATCAGGTGCTTTCATTTTGCCAGGAAGGGGTTAGTCAATATATAAAGGCCTATATTGTGTCACTCAGTGGATATCAGCCGTATTGTACCAGCCCTTGTGTGTAAGTCAGTGTATCCTATATAATCCATGTAGTGTGAGTCCGTGCATCCATGTAGTGTGTGTCAGTGTGTTGGTATGTACATGTTGCCAGGTGGGGGAAGCGTGCAGCACACAACCGAGCACAGATCGTGTACTATATGGCGGAGAACCTGGAAGTGCGGAGGGATGAGATCGCTCAGAGGATCTGTGCCATGACAGGTCAGCCTCTGGACGCTGGCCGACAGGAAGTGGACCTGGCTGTACAAAGGCTGTTCTACTGGGGGGCATACTGTGACAAGTATGGGGGAGCCGTCCAGGTGAGTCCGTCACTGTCATCAGGGCTAGATGAAGTGTCACGTTTCTCCACCTGATATCTGTGTACATAATAGTGGACCAGCTATGAGTCATGCTGTGATAGTTTGTGGTATAATGTATGTAACTATGTATGTATATATACGCAGTCTGTGTCTTCCTCTTGCACATTAAATTTATTATGGTTCAGTAAGCTAGACCTTTAATGTCCATAGATTAAGGATAAAGTCAGAAAATACCTTCAAAAGATATGTTTGGTTAAGTGGATAACTACGTTTTGGGTTAACATTATCTGTGGAATATTTTCCTGCATATATGATGTATGTGTATTGTATGTACTTTAAGGCAGTAGCTTCCGTTATAACTTTGTGTGTGTATCTTAGGTAGGTTTTATCTCAAGTTCATTCAATGCTGTCTGGGAACATGATATCCTGTGAATCATTGGACTGTTGTCATGAGATATTGGACAGAGATAAAGAAACAAGTCGTTGAAACTGTTCCTCATCTTTTCCCCAGGAGACAACCCTGTATGGAGCTACTGTCAAGATTCACGAACCTGTGGGAGTTATTGGTATAGCGTGTCCGGATGAGTATCCACTACTAGGCTTTGTCTCTCTCTTTGCTCCTGCTGTGATCCGAGGAAACGCTGTTGTCGTTGTCCCGAGCGAGAAACATCCGCTTGTAGCCCTTGACTTGTACCAGGTGGGTACCTTCGTGCTCTTGTCATTGTAGTTGGTTTGTTGTTTAACACTGCACTCAGCTATATTACAGCTATATGGCGGCAGTCTGTAAATAATCGGGTCTGGACCAGACAATCCAGTGATCAACAGCATGAGCATCGATCTACACAATTGGGATACAATGACATGTGTCAACCAAGTCAGCGAACCTGACCACCCGATCCCGTTAGTCGCCTCTTACAACAAGCATGGGTTACTGAAGATCAATTCTAACCTGGATCTTCACGGGTGCGCATGCTCTTGTCAAGGATGTATGGTGCATGTAAGCACAGGAAATTGTAGCTGTTCACATACAGAAAGAATTGACTTTTCCCTTACTCGACCTTTGGCATGTCACTGTAATTTACACCATTGGCAGAAAACAACAGTCACTCAATCCTTACTGAATGAGTCTGAAGTTTGAATTGCGTTGTGAATTGTGAATGTGTTGATTTACATCATTGACGACATTACTGTTGCAGGTGTTTGACACATCTGACCTCCCTGGCGGCGTGGTGAACATCATCACCGGTGACCGTAACCATCTCACCAAATACCTCGCTGAGCATCAGGACGTCCAGGCCATGTGGTACTTCGGCTGTGCAGAAGGTTCAAAGTTTGTGGAGTATGCTTCTGCTGACAACATAAAGCGAACATGGGTCAACTACGGCATCAGTCGCAACTGGTCCGACACAGAGGCAGGACAAGGGGAGGAGTTTCTGTTTCACTCCATACAGGTCAAGAATATATGGATACCCATGGGAGACATCTTCGCCAATTAGACTCGCTATTGCAGGAAGTATTCGCCGACCAGCTGCCAGTAGTTGTGGATGTTATGGTGGGTGCTGGTCACGTGACCGGTCCACAGATGTGTTAACTAATGAGTGGTGCTGAACTAACCAATGTCGAAGCGGTTCCTGGGCTGGCATTTCAGGGACAACTTGCTGGCTGTTTGAATATTGTCACAATGTGATACAAATTGTGGAATTGAAAATGTGAAGTCCATCGTACTTCATGGATTTGTATACACTATATTTGATTTTTATACACTATCTTCCTCCATTTGTGAATGAATACCCTTGCTATGTAGTGTAGTCACTATTTTTGACCAGTAGATTAGTTCATGGGTTGGTAAAAAATAGTGACTCTCATGAAATAGTCAAACAGTGACTTTTCAGGTTGCATCACAAACACATCAACATTTCTCAATTGACGAAGTGTGTAAGGTGATATATAACTGTGCATCTGCCTGCTCTACATACAACTTCAGTGTCAGGCAGCAGTATTGTTCGCACCACGTCTGTGTATGGCCGAACGTGATGTTGCTGGAATATTGCTAAAAGCGGCGTAAAACCGAACTCAGTCAGTCAGTCTGTGTATGGTTTCAGCCTCAATTGACTTCTTTTATGAAGAGACTCATTTCATTTACAAAAAAGATGTTTATCACTGCAGTTGAAGGCATTCTCTCTTAAGGAAGAAATTATAATAATTGATATCCAAATCACCTAGTATCCATCGACTGGTGCTCACTGGCACTATGACTAAGTTAAAAACAAATATAAACACACATTCCTGAAAGTCTATTGGAATGCTGACCGGAAGAGGTGGTTTGTAAGGAGAGACTTGAATATGGTGTGTACAAACCTGTGAAGTATTGAAGATGAATGTTGTGTGGCTGTTGTAATGAGTGGAAACAGAACACTTGTCTGATTGACGATTGTGTGAATCCTGCATCTCCTCATTGCTAGTGCTATGTTCAAACATGATGTTCCTGTCTCAGTGTACGTCTCTGTGTTGATCATGTCACAGAAACATTCATATCTGTTTTCCGTCAGGGTGCAAAACCCATAATTATAATGTATGAAGTTATGCAAGACTGTAGGAGGTTACAAGGAAAGATGTGTGTTCATTTGTAGTTCACGGAATAGGATGCTGTGTTACATAAGGCCTGTGTCAGAGCATCAGGAATGACAGACAGACTCGCCATGACTCCACACAATAATACCCATTCCTATAATATACTGGACAAAATAAGTTAGGGATATTGGTATGTTTATGATTGATATTTTATCAGTGTGTCAATGAATAATTAGATCATTATTCATAATTTCAAAATGTACATACATCCCTAACTATTTTTGTCCAGTATATATTTAGACGATGTAGACAGCACTCTCTTCCTTATCTGGTATTTGTCCAGACCTTAGTTTATCCAATACCGACTTAAAGCTATTTAGGGTCCAAGCATTTAAATTTTTAATTCATCAACAAAAAAGATCTGTCTAGATGGGTTTCTTTGTTCTGATTCTGCATTCAATATGTTAAATATCAATAACTTTATTAGTGCTATCTTAATTTTGTTGATGATACAGGGGTGTGCCTTTCTTTTTTTTGTATGCATATCTAGTGCTGATATAATCCGGAATTCTGTAGGTGATTGTGTATACCAGAAAAAAGCATATTTCCAATAACCAACATGTTATTTCTACACAATTATACGACTGCAGAACACAAGTTGCTAAGTCACAAAATACAACCTTCCTTTTCCAACATTGTGTATCAGTGCTTGTAATAGTAACATCTCCTAGGTCATATACACTGCTCATAAGATGTTAAAAAGAACATATGTACAGTCATAAATGAAAATCAAAAGTTCCTTGATTCTTTTGAGTAGTATACTAAGCAGGCTGCCTACTTCTGTCTTACTTGTCATACACAGGTAACTTTTGTTACAGTAGGACATACTATTGTTCTGATTAATGCAGAGCGGTTGGGTACCCTAGTTAAAGCATTCCCTCGTCACGCCGAAGACCTGGGTTCGATTCCCCACATGGGCACAATGTGTGAAGCCTATTTCTGGTGTTTCCTGCCGTGATGTTTCTGGAATTTTGCTAAGAGCAGCATAAAACTACACTCACTCACTCCTGATTAATCCAAATTTTTTATCCTCAACATATATGGTTTACACAGATTCTACTATAGCATATTTAAAGATGGTGCTCTCCTCCTGCACTAAACTATTGAGGAGTGGGTATGTATGTTATTCATAAACAAAGGTATCATATTCATGTTTGGTATGATGTTTGGTGATGGCTTTGTCAGATATAATCTTATACCTGTATTTGTAGAAATATTTGTGTATTTTATGACTGCTTTAACAGTGTTGATTTTGTCATGTATTGTATTCTCTGATCACAACATCATTCATACCTGGGGTGGTGGGGTAGCCTAGTGGTTAAAGCGTTGGCTCGTCACGCCGAAGACCCGGGTTCGAATCCCCACATAGGTACAATGTGTGAAGCCCATTTCTGGTGTCCCCCGCCGTGATGTTGCTGGAATATTGCTAAAAGCGGCGTAAAACCAAACTCAGTCAGTCATTCATACCTACATCTGATTCATCACTTTCTGGCATTTTCTTTGGAATTGTGGACAGCATCTGCTAAATCCTATGTTGAGTGAATATTTTTCTAAATAGTCCAGACATGATTCTTTTGAATTCATACCTGCATGTATTAAGTTATGCTTCTATTTGTCTTGCTGTACAGGCCAGTGGGATAGTACAATGTTTGAAATCCATATCTGGTGTCCCCCGGTGTAATATTGCTGGACTCTTGCTAAAAGCTGTGTAAGACCTTATTCACTAACTCACTCACTCACTGTACAAGATAACTGTATGAAGTAATACAAGTATAGTTCTGCCTGAACAGAAACTTAAACAGCTGATCTATGTTCTGATAGAACATGCCTTACCTGTGTTCAGATAGAACATGCCTTCCTCCACAATGTAAAGTAAACACAGTAACCAAACTTAAGGAGTAGTGGGGTGGCCTACTGGTCAAAGCATTCGTTCGTCACACCGAAGACCAGGTTTACTTCACACATGGCTGCAATGGATGAAGCCTACTTGTGTTTACCACTGTGATATTGCTGAAAATAGATGTTAAACCATCTATTTTCATGCACACATTCACAAAGACAAGAGTTCAGTATGGTAATATTTTGTGATTATTTTACTGTACTCATGTTCAATGTTTCAAATAGATCCCTCCCTGTTATTCCATGGTCAGTAATATTTTACCCGGAACAGGAATCTTTGGAACATTCTATCCAGTCAGTCTTTACAGGTTTCCAAAGTCTGAACAGCCTTAAAAGTATTTAACAGCTTTAAGACATATATCTTCGTATTGATGTGATGACCTTGATATTGTTGTTAGCGTTGGACTTAAAACGTCACTGCCAGGAAGTTCTAGTTCTGTTTGACAATCTGTCTCCACACACTCTCCTCATCTTATGCAGCTTATTTTTAATATACTTTTTCTTTCATAAGCATTTGCTCATGCTATTATTTTGTTTGTTTTGCTTTTATACAGATATTTCATTGAATATTTTGTTTGATTTTGTTCATGATTTCTTTATACATGCGTTATGGTACGTAGGTGATGTTACATGTTAAATGACCACCGCCATATAGCTGGAATATTGCTGAGTGCGGTGTAGAACTTAACTCACACACTACATGTTAAATGTGCTATGGACTTATGGCAACTTCACTGATCCAAGGTGGTTGAATTACCACATACCAACATATCATTACAGAGCCAAGGGAAACATGGTATTTGGAACCAGGAGTCTCCAGTTCAGGCTGGAGTCTCAATGTCATGTCTTTGAATGGCATTTAGCAGTGATACACATGAAGAGTGAAACTTTATGGATGTCAAGGACACAATGTTTCGGAGTATATTTTCACTCCTTTGTCCTCATTTTGGAGTATATTCTTACTCCTTCATCAACAGGATGTTTCAGATGAACTTATAGGAATATATATATTGGGCGGGTAGCCTAATGGTTAAAGCGTCGGCTCGTCACGCTGACGACCCGGGTTCGAATCCCCACATGGGCACAATGTGTGAAGCCCATTTATGGTGTCCCCCGCTGTGATATTGCTGGAATATTGCTAAAAGCGGCGTAAAACCCAACTCACTCGCTCACTATAAGAATATACTCCGAAACGTCCCTCATATTACAGAAGTTGACGTCCATACGTTTTCACTCTTACTCCATGTCATGTTTCTGGAGTCTTCACGTCATGTAGCTGGATGTTTGGACAATATTGTTTACAAATTTTGCACAGGGAAACCTGTTCGAACTTAGGGACATTTATGTAACTGTTGTCAGTGATGTTGTTCCATGTGTCAACAGGCTTATGTTTGCTCAAGTAGTCATCTGCACTTATATGTTGTTCATTTGCCAGTTCGAACATTCATCAAAAGACAGAAGAAAAATTGAAACGATTACCCAACAAGAAGTTTGTATGGGAATGTAGTTATGTTTGAATAAGTGAGTGAATATAATTTAACGGCCATTCAGTATTTTCTCTGATGTGATGTGATGTGATGTGATGTAAGGCGATATTTGACAAGCAAGCAAGAGTCTACAGTGAATCTTGCTAAATGTGAATGGCCTGGAGCTTGTCATACAAGGGTACAGTAATTCAGTATGAATTCCAATGAATTCAGTTATACCGGTAATAGTCAAATCATTTACAAATTGTGCCATGACTGTTTATTATAACACTGTCAGATCACCTGCCATGTTCCCTTCTATCTCTTTGTAGAATATAACTGTGCCAAAGTTGTGCCATTAATTCATGAATGGTAAAGTTGGTGGCTCTGAACATGTATATAGACCTGGGAAATCTCAAGTGGTTAGAAAGCTTGGCTGTTAACTGCCAGCAGCTATTTCAGGCAGTCACCATTTGACTGGAATAAACTTGTTATAACAGGATCATTGTTGTGTTTCTTTTTCCACTTTGTGCTGGGAAAATTCTGAGTTTGAAAGAATGCTCTTTACAGCTTGGTGAATATGTTATGGGACTGTAGCAATTCAGAAACATAAAAACGTCCTCATTTATTGGTCAAGACTTGTCACGCTTTACTGGCATACACAGATTGTAGAATGATTTCCAGTGACAGAAGTGCCCAGCAGTGACACAGCACCTTGACCCAGCTATTCTCCTGCAGCTGTTGTCTGTGTGGTGCCAGCACCATAGAAGATGGGGGTAACAGACTAGGTAGAAGTGACAGACAATAGGTAGAAGTGACCATAGAAGATGGGATCTGGTAACAGACAATAGGTAGAAGTGACCATAGAAGATGGGATCTGGTAACAGACAATAGGTAGAAGTGACCATAGAAGATGGGATCTGGTAACAGACAATAGGTAGAAGTGACCATAGAAGATGGGATCTGGTAACAGACAATAGGTAGAAGTGACCATAGAAGATGGGATCTGGTAACAGACAATAGGTAGAAGTGACCATAGAAGATGGGATCTGGTAACAGACAATAGGTAGAAGTGACCATAGAGATGGGATCTGGTAACAGACAATAGGTAGAAGTGACCATAGAAGATGGGATCTGGTAACAGACAATAGGTAGAAGTGACCATAGAAGATGGGATCTGGTAACAGACAATAGGTAGAAGTGACCATAGAAGATGGGATCTGGTAACAGACAATAGGTAGAAGTGACCATAGAAGATGGGATCTGGTAACAGACAATAGGTAGAAGTGACCATAGAAGATGGGATCTGGTAACAGACAATAGGTAGAAGTGACCATAGAAGATGGGATCTGGTAACAGACAATAGGTAGAAGTGACCATAGAAGATGGGATCTGGTAACAGACAATAGGTAGCAATAGACACTAGCGTAACAGGCGTCGGAATCCTGCAACAATAGGTAGAGATAGACACCAGCTCCACTGCAGCTGGGATCCTGCAAATTTCTACTAATTTAAAAGGTTTGAAGATGGTTATGTACTTACCACTACGAGCAAACTGGGTGGATCTCGACATGCTCCAACAATGCCCTTCGAGGAAGCATCAGAGTCCCCGCCTATAGCCCAGAGAAACAGTGTACTCATCAAGAAATGAATCCATAACAGTAAGTGGTAGTGCATAAACCTCATGAAGTATTTCTCCATCCCGATGTGGTCAGGTATGATAGATACACACTTAGTTGTGCCTCCGGTAAGACACAAAGGCTTAGCAGCCTACCCAAGAGCTATTAATGACTAGCCATTAGTTTACGCTTGCGTGTTCATACGATTAATAGTCTGGAGCACAATTATCACGGGTTGATGTAAGCCAAAGTCGGAGATTCGGTACTCTGGTCTTTTTGTATCCATACAAGCCTTGTTCTCACCCATCATAACTGGAGCGCCGACATCACGGAAGTGGGAGAAGATCTGATCCATGACATCGGGCAGCTGGGCTCCGCTGGTCACGTGGACAACACGGCATGGGACCTGCAGACAACACATCAGGTCATTCATCAGGGGTACTAAGAAGACAATAAATCTCATAACATCGGATAATAAATCTGATGAAACATCAGATAATACATCAGATAATACATTTGATGAAACATCAGATAATAAATAAGACAACACAACATTTCGGCTAATACATCAGGTACTTATCCGACAGTAAATCAGACAGGCCCAACCCTAACCCTAGCCTGTAATCAGCTTATCCGATAAAAATCCGCTATTAATCAGGTAATCATCTTGCATTAAGTCGTGTTATGACTGCCCATATTCTAGCATCACGCTTTACGAATGATCATAATAACTATATTACATAGACAACCATATTTTAACATCTTTTCTCTGGAAACTGAAAGAATGTACCATATCTTGCCTTTACCGTTACATTTTACTGGTTACATTTAAATGTCCCATTTTTGTACAGGCGGGTCTCTCTGACTGACCTGAATCTGTAGGGTTACAACCCGACTTCAGCTCAACGACTACCGCAAATCTATGGTAATGAATGGGAGTTACGATAGTCCTAGCGCTAAGATCGCTCCGTGCAACGGGGCTCTGCAATTCAGCTGTCTCTTGTTGGTCATCCCAAAAATGTGACAATATTCACAATTCGTCTTTGAAATAAAGTAAAAAACATTTGCTTGAAGGATAAATTGACATGGTCAAAACAACACAAACCTCACCGACAAATCAGATTACCATATGTGGTCACAGATTCAGTAATCAAGCTACATCTTTATCCAAGTGCCAACGAGGTGTCTCATCGTCACCCAGAGCTCAGTAGGGACAATGTAGACAACAACCTGTCTCGTTACTGCCGTCGCTGAAACAACGCTGACGTCTGTCACAACATCAGCAGAAACTGTGACAACATTGACAGTTATCAACTGGCACGACACCCAGGCACGTCCCTGCCAGTAACAACGTACAGAAACATCGTAGCCAGCAATACCACCTGGAGACATCACTGTCGGTAACACCGATATAGCGAATGTCATACAGCCACGGTTCAGTGATAAAGAGAGTTTTCAATGTTAGAACTGTCTCAAACATTTTTCTTACAGTTAGTGAGACTTCACACTGCCTTTAACAATATCACGGCGGGAGAAACCAGAAATAATTTCACACATTCTGCCCATTCCCGGAATCGAACCCGGTTCTTTGGCGTGAAGAGCTCAATCTTAAAGCACTAAACTACCTCATGGCGTTAATTCGCTTTATAACATTTGTTTCATATCGCGTCCCGAGTAGACACAGTAAAATTTAGTAACAAATCCGGTCTGAGCTGGAAAAAAGCTTTCGTATACATAAGGAACGATCCATGTCTTTGGAGCATGAGTTACACAATGAGGCCACACTATAACCATCCAATCCCCCTCTTACGTAATGCACAATATACTGGGGTATATTTTGACTGAATCACAATATACCGGTTTGCGAAGTGTTATACACGGAAGTAAACTACACACATGTATTAGTCAAACATACATATATTTTTAGAACATGCCACACTCAGATGATAAGTTTTGAAGGGTTAGTTGGACAACTTAAATCAGTAGACATGTAGTGTAATTAGACTATGTCGAGTGTAGGAAAAGGGCACAATTTGAAATTCCTCAAAATTGCAACGGGATAAAGAACTACAAATTCTGTTTTTTATTTAAGGGGACCTTGCATGAGAACCTTCAAGTCTTAAGACATCCAAACGGATTAATTTCACTCTGGCCAAACAAATTTAATCAGTTGTAAGTGAAGGTAATCGGTCTGTGGTTATCCTTTATTTCCTAAACAAGTCTTCCAAATAACAATAACAGGAACAGCTGGAACTCTGAAGTCGAGCATATAATCATATGGACTAAATATATTATCTTATAAAACAAATACTTTTTGAACTCCTTAGATAGTAACTCAAACAGAGACCATATTAGAAGATCAGTCTTGGTGAAGTCCTAGCAAGTTCTAAAGCCAATCATTATCAATTATCTGAGGGTACATCTGATAATCCTTTGGACAAGATTTACAGTGTCTTTTCCAAATGTAATCTTCCGAATATCGAACCACAATCTACCAATGGAAACTGGACCATGGATAGATTGACCTTGCCATCGCTGAGATTCTGCAGCAGCAACAGCAGCACCAGGTGAAATATATTTTACCTTTAAGTGTAATGGTTTTGAAAAGGAGAAAAAAACAGTATATTGATTAAAATGTGTTATATAAGAAACGTTTACATATATGAGTCGAATCACGCCGAAGACCCAGGTTCGATTCCTTACATGGGTACAATTTGTGAAGCCCATTTCTGGTGTCCCCCGTCGTGATATTGCTGGAATACAGCTAAAAACTAAACTCACTCACTCCCTACTGTGACAGTCTGGTAATCAATACTGCCATGGGAAACCATTAACCTGGTTGTATAAATGTTAATGGGAAAGACGCTTTCAGTTGGACAGCTTATTCCCCTCAATCAATTGACCATCTAAATAAATGTAACATATTTTATACTTGGGATTAGACTTCCTCAGTAGTACAGATTCTAGTACTTTTAGTGGTCGAGTCGAACCCACACTCACAGACCAAGGCACCTAGTCAGCGATCTAACCCACTCAGCCACCACGGCTTCCACAAAAAGTGTACACATCTAACAAGACTTAGTGTAAATTGTCACGGCTTCCTTGGCCGAAAGCTATTCATACTTAGTTTGCAAGAAATTTAGTGAATAGAATGCAAAGTTTAAAACATATTTTCTCTCACCGTTAACAATATGTCTGCTGTCTGAAATCAGTGAACGACGAAACTAGACAGACAAATTACACTTTGAAGTCAGCTGCGAGACAGGAAAATATTGACATTAATATTGAACAGTAGGCTCAAGTAAATTAGTCACAGACATTGATGCTAACGAGCAAAACTAAATCTCAACCACATCTGCAAACACATTGGTGTCAATTGTTATTGGGAATTAACACACAACAAACACCTTAATCCCAGAGCGTGCCAGAATCGTGGCTAACAGCAGTTAGGTTACACTGGAGACAAAACAGTAGCGACGATAATCTGTCGTGGGGATCTGTCTTCCTGTAATCCTGGTCACTGCTCTGTCAATCTGTACCACAAGCTGACTAATGACAACCTTACAAAATTGACAACAAAAACAACATTGACTGTAACAACACGCGGATACATCACCTGAGAGTTTACAATAAACAGTTTTGGCCACTAATTAACGAGATAAGTAATGAGATGGCTGAACCTAATGAAGCAGAACAAAACGTCAATTAGACAGCTAAGAAAATTAACTGAATTTAATTTTATTGTTTTTTTAAAAGTGACATTGATTGCGATGGTCTTTTGGTATAAAAGTAAGCAGTGAGGGGTCATGTCACCACATTCCACAGTAACACAGGTAAACTACAGGTGTACATTATCCCGTAGTCAAGCTACAAGTTCATCGGGTAAGAGATAACATTTTATATATTTTTTTAACATTTTATTTCTTTTGATGGGTACATAATTGTTGCATTTTTGGTACATAAATATACAAAGTATGAACACGAGTGGTTGATAATCCGTCGGCTAGAAGAATACATTGATATTGTAATTTATGTGAAGAGGTTATGGCAAGATGACCAAAAGGTGAAGAATTTACCATAGTTACAGTGCAAAAGGCAGTACATAGAGGGTGTGTAGGTAATGCTTTAATCCAACAAACTGCGGATGCGAATTAGAACATCTCTTTGCATATATATAGTATTTTGTTGCGATGATAATCAGGTTTAATACATCATTTCGTTTTTCTTTATATCCAAAGATATGTTTGCATCCAGAATTAATATAATATAGAATCACAGTTTTTTTATTAATAAAATGCTCCTTGGACCTACCACTGTTAACTTACAATTTAAAAAAAGGCATACGAAATATTATGCACTAAATAAATAAAAACAAAATATGCATAATAAACCAGTATACATTTATTTGAACGGATGGTACTTTATGAAGTCTTTGAACTGCAATTAGAAGTGATACACTTAACGGCAAGAATTTATGCATGTCAACATCTTTATTTTGAGGAACACGGCTTTGTGGACGAGAACTACTTTATTATAGTATGACTGTCAATCAAACTGATCACGTATTCCTTTCACATGTAACGCTCCATTAGCAAACTTGAAATACTATTACTGATGCACTGTGTACTTAACGTGAAAAATTAAAATTACAAAATTTTTATGCAAAGGAATAACCAGTCTTGGCTACAATACCGACTCCATTTTGAGTAAAAGGTGCAAAAGCTGTGAAAATTCTATAAGCGGACCACTAAAAATGAGGGATACAAGGTGTTCAGAAAGACAGATTTTCATGAAATTAACAATATTTCATACGGGAAAATATATATGTTAAAGAAGGGGTGTAAGAATGTAAAACATTTAGATGAACAAATCATCGAAACCAATCCGACACTTAGGAATAATTATATATGCTTCTTACTAATAGCACTGTATGCATAAGCATCATATATATATTATGCCATGGTAATTCAAACATAAATGTCTTCTATGTATAACAATATTGGTATCTTCAGGCCCGTCTCCAACTAGGCTGTACTGTTTCAAAGTGTCAATAGTTTTATTTTAATGGTAAAAAATCTGTGTATATTTCAAAAGAAAATACTAAGCAATTATTTTTCGAATGTGATAAACTAAATAGGCATAGTCATACCTTTTTAAATTATCCTAAGTTTATTTTCCTGATCACATGAGAGTTCATTGTTGTTGTGGTCCTGTTTGCACTGCTGTGGCACTAACGAGATAACCGACAACTCCCTAATTAACGAGCTGTCCTGAACAAGACACTGATTGGCAAGCTAGCTGTAAGGAGACTGTTAATCTAGTTAATTACACAATTAATCCAACTATTTACCGTTATGGCTGACTAACTGCTTTACAAACAATATCTTAAAATAACTGCTCTACCTC